GCCAATTTTCCACCATCCCACTATTCTAAAGGCTTTGCTCTCCCCAAAAGTGAATGGACACACCACTCCTTTGCATGGACTTGGAGTAAATGGAGATGGTCATGTGCATGGAAGCAGAAAAAGATCATGAGAAGATGGTATCAGAGGTTAGGGTCATGATTAGTTATGTGCCAGAACCACAAGGAAGAGAAAGCAAAGCCATGGCATGATGCTGAAACTTACCCCCCTTCTGAAGTATGAAAAGTGGACAAACCCTGAAGGCCATGGTAGTAACCAGGACCCGCTTGCCTCCCTTGACTCCCATGGCTGCTTTCGGTGCTGCTGGAGTTGCTTTTTGCCAGAGGTCTCTTGCTGTAAGCACTGGCTCTTGATTCTGTCTCAAATCCATTCAGCACTCTCTGACCAGGTCTATTCCCTGTGATTTCATGCCGGTATCCATCATATCTGTTCTCATATGAAACAGGAGGATTTTTTGACAATTTGTATCCGTGAGAAATCAGGAGGTCCTCGACACTGAACATATTGTGCTGGTGTCACTCACAGCTGTGCCATCAGAAAGCTCTTTCCAACAGGATCCATCACTGGAAAAGAAACATAAAACTGCATTAAACATGGAAAGACATCCTTGCTCAACTGCTAGGCTGCTGAAACCAGGTTTCATCCCCCGGCCTCAGTCTTCCACCCCTGTAATAAAATATATTAAATAAAGTGCATGCAGATGCCGATGAATCATGTGCTGACCTTCCCTGACAATACACCTACATTTATTGAGGGAAGGAGCAGATGCCGTGCTGCTGCTGAGTCAGTCCATTTCACTGAAGAATTCAGTGATGATTGCAGCTTTCAGTTTTCACTAAGTGAGCTCAAAAGATCTTTGCACCAAAGGTAAGAACACAATCTGAGTCAGGCATTTGCTTAAAAACAGTTTTTCTCCAGTCATGGGGAGAGGTTTTGGCTAGCTGTGGGAGGAGGGGCTAGATTATACAGCCTCTCCCTACAGTTCTGCATATTCCAACCAGGAAAAAAATCACATGAACAAGGACAAAAATATGCATGAGAACAAAAATTAATTATGCTACCACATGAGAAGCCCAGGTAATGTCATGTAATGCCCCATTTAAACACTCTTCTTTATAGATTTGTTTTTGGCCTAGGTTAGCAGGCTGGCAATCAGTAATCCTGAACTAGAATAATAAAAAACTTAAGATTTCAGGTATGCTCTATTTTTACAGAACACTTTCACTCTGTAAAATGACAGGAAACAACCTTAAATGCCTGTGTGTGTCTGTCTCAGTGATTTCCCAGGCACAGGACAGTCAAGATTTTTCATTCCACTGACAGCCCTCAATTCTTTACTGACTACAGCTAAGATTCAGCCAATTGAATTAGTTGACTGGAAACAATCTCTATTGTCTATACTAGTCTGCTAGCTTCTTACGGCAATTAGGGAATACCCATTCCTCCATAGTTCTAAAATAACCAGAATATAATGATCTATTCTGTAGATAATACGCAATAACAAACACATTCGAGTACATTCCTCCTTGGCGGACTGATGTTACAAGGAAAAAAAGTGTATGGGCAAGAAGTGAAATGCACCAAAAACATATTCAATAGGTAAAACCTGGATGATTTTATCTACATAAAGACTCAGTTTATCATGCCAGGTGAGTATTGCAAGTCCTTTGGAGTAGTAGGTCTTATCTGAAGTAGTATAGCTTAGCATTGGCAGCCACTCAAAAAGAGACTCTCTCTGCAAAGATCATGACCAACAACTGCATTTTATACACAAGGCTTTAATGCTCTTTTTGAGGAATAAGAAAGGGAGAATTCTGTTCACCGCTATTTACAGGAATTTAAATGAGACGGACCAACTACCAATGTGGCTGTTGCACATTTATCAGTGTTAAAGCTCTCTGGCTACGTACACCCAGAATTTGAGAGCTGGATGTTTAAACAAGCTATTGAGGAGGAGCACACCACACATTACGGCAAGTTTGTGCCTCTCCTGTGTCCTGTCCACTGATGGCTCGGCCCTTTCCTGGATGTGTGTGCCAGCTTCTAGGGTGCTGCTGGGTCCCTTCTGGCCATGTCTCGTGGGTGCTGCTCAAACAGACAGAGGATCTTGTCTTGAGGACAGTCCTCAAGATGTGGTGTAGAAAAACACAGGGTTATATGCAAATCCACGCTTTAATGTGGAACTGAGAACATTGCAAATAGTGGCTTTTCAGCCTGCATAGAGTTTAGACCAGTTTGTGTTCAGAGCTTAATGAATCTCTTCCCTTTTCACGCAAACACACCCTTTAAAGACAGGAATAAAGCTCTCTGTAGAAGGTATTTTAGAAGCATGGCCTTGCTGGAACAGGGCTCCAAATTCCCAGTAAGTTCTCTGAAGAACAGAGTCAGTAGTAAGTACAGGTAGATAAAAGTCAAGGAGAAGTGGAACTCTTCTCTCCAGGGAAAAGGAAGGTTTGGTGGGTTGTTTTTGCGCATTGACCTAAAAGGCTAATTTTCCGCCCTCACCGCCATAGCCTGCTCAGCACCAGGTATAGGCAGAGCAGAGGGAACAGCTGGCTGCTAGCAGTGCTCAGGCTCCGAAAGGAGAAAGATCCAATGTGACTGCCACGGAGAGCAGAAAGCCCATTGGAGCGCGCACAGGTGCATGGAAGAAATGTGCTTTTCCTGCTATTCTTGCCAGGCTGCCTGGCTGTGCTTGTTAACCCCCTCTCTGCCAGCCCCGCAGAGAGCTCTGCGAGCCACAGCGGGGCTCTGGGTGCCCTGCTGGCCCAGCGGGTCTCACTGCACAAGCCACCGAGCAGACTGGCAAAGTCATAGAGAGCCACTACCCTCTGTCAGCAGCCCAGGGCCGGGCAGGACAGCAGAGACCCGCACCCCAAACAGGCCATCAGGAGCCACCGTGGCAGCACCCACTGTCCTCGCAGAGCCTGGCGAGCTTTCAAGGCCGGGTGCAGTGCTGGGATGCTCCTCCTGCCCGCCCTTAAACAAATGAGCTTAAAAAACAAAAATCAAAGGAATGGGATTGGCAGGAATAAAATCAAACTGTTGCTGCTGCGCTGTCTCCTCAGTAATTTATGGGACTGGGCCAAAGTGTAAAGTCTGTGCAGAGCTTCTAATTTGAGGTAAGATCAACAACACTGGAAAACAGTTTGTTTTCCCAGCGCTCATTTGTTTTGTTTGCCAATGACATCAGTGTTTTCTGATAGGGTTTGCTTCCTGAGGATGCCTGCTATCTTGCCAGCGTTTCCGACTTGTCCCAGTCAGCCGGTACAACTCTACATCACACTCGAAACAGGGGCCAAGCATTTTTCTGGAAGCTTCTCAGCTGCACTCTCAGTTGCAAAGGACAATTATACACTGAACTACGGAAATCGGAGCTAGCACAAGTACACATGTACACAACGGGGGCCACAGTGAGCTGCAGTCATCGGTACCAGGGGACAGACACATAACCAGAACACCTCGTTTCAGGGATAATCTGTCCAAGACCTCTCCATCCCTATTGCTAACAAAACCCCCAAATAATATTGAAGGATCTTGA